ACAATTGAATGCCATTTCCAACAGTTTGTTCAATCAGTGAATCATCTGATTCCTGGCGACTGGAACCAAGAGTGTCATAACAATGACTCCCTGTCTTTAGCCACAAACACAGGTTTATAACAATCATCAAACAAATGTTTATGTAATTATTGACTCAAATGTTTGATCCCACAGTTATGTCGTATTTGTTTGGATCACTTCTAACTCTGTCTTTAATGACATTGTTTTACATAATCTACACATTCCTGAAACCAAAAAATAAGGAAATTGTATATCAAATGCTTCCCATTCGATAGCATATCGACTAAAACTTATAACCTGTCATCAATTGGTCCGAGTCTAAGATATTTAGTATTTTTTAAGTTATTCATTGCATTAACTTATGTTTTGTCATATGTTTTAGTCCAGAATGAGGCATACGATATGATTCAGTGATATAAGGGAACAGAAATGATTTCTGTAACTTTTTTTAAGTTCAATATTTATTATCCGCTTTTAGTATTTAATACTATTTATATAAACACTTTGAATATTGTGGAAATAAAATGTAAAATATTTTTTATTCAATTTAGAAATGTTTTTATTTGTGTATACAATTTGTGAAAATGTTTGATAAAAGTATATTTTAAATATATTTTCGTATTACCATAAGTGTTATGAAGTGGTGATCATATGAAGGGTTATCTCATTTGGAGTGTCTTTTCTTGAGAGCACTTCTGATGAGAGCAATCAAATGACGCAAATCTGGTTTCAAGTCATCGCTTCTGGAGTTGAACTCATCCTCAATGAGTTTGGTGTCCAAAGAATCCTTGGGATCGCACTCCACAACTGATCCAAAGGAGCAATCGTTTCGTATTCATTAAAACATCGAGTGGTGTCTTAATAGCAAACCTTTAATCCGTTTGTCTTCGGCGTTCACTTTAACAGTAAACCATTTGTTTGGATCCGTTTCGGAGATCTTATTGAACCGGACAGTGAAGACATCCTCTCTTTTCTCGATTCTCAATCCAATGGCATTCCAGACATTCATCACATTTTCCACATTCTCTTTGTTCTCGTCGTTCTTCTTCGACAGCTTTTCGATGTCTTTGTATTCAAACAAANTTCTTCTTCGACAGCTTTTCGATGTCTTTGTATTGAAACAAACCATTAAAGCATTCATTGGAAGCAATCAAATCAGTGGACATATCATACACTTGTGGACATCGGATGACTTGCGTTCAGCCTTTTCTATGTTAGCCTTGGCTTTCATTATAGCCTTTTGGACGCTCTCTATCTCTACGGCCACTCTTTGCTTGTCTTTCGCGCATCGCTTCCACTCCTTCACCGAACCATTCAATTCTGTCAACCAATACATCCATTCAATCAACAAATCAATCAATCAATCAATGAGTCCATCGTTTCCATCAAACCTTTCTTCTTGGTCTCGAATCCATCGCTCATTTCTTTGACACTCACGTCATCCATGTCTTTGATGCCATTCAAAGTGTCACTCAATTGAGTCCACAGTTTGTTTAAATCACTACTCATTTCACAACTCATTGGTCGCTAATTCACTGCCAAATCAAATGCCAATCAAAACACAACTACTTTTCAATCAGTGTTTCGGTTATAGTTTGTGAGCCACTCATCAATTATGTCCTATTATTGACTCACTTTTCAGTCCCCTTTGCACTCACATTGCGTTCAAATTCATTTCACAACCATTACGTTATTTATTCAAATATTTTCATTAATTTTTTTCAAAAAGCGCCCAATATTTCAAATTCAACTCAAAATAAATAACGTCACAAATATGAACCCGAATTGTAGTGACCAGTGGCCAGGGAGACTGCAAAACCATTATCCGTTTGAATTAAACATATAATTATTTACTGTAAATGAGTGCAACAGAAGTTCATATTTTAATACAAATATTTTAATCACATTTCAAGTTATATTAAAATTTAAATCACATTTTCAGTGCCTTTTGTGCGGCGATAAGAACTTTGTCATTGAGTTTATAGATCCGATTGCCTGCAGAGGAAGTGGTCAACGGTTGGGACAGTCGTTTGTGATCTTCGCAAACCAGTATATAATTGGCTTCAGTGTCACCCTCCGGGTATTTGTCTCGATATTCTTCAAATGGGAGACAATCAGTGACAGTGACGCAGCCCACCAGTGATGATGTGGGGTATGAATCGGGGAATGTCTTAATGCCAGCAAACGTGTACAACTTGTGGATGTCATCGATGTTGTGCTGATCCGGCGCTTTGCTATTGGAACGAATCCAAAGCCTTCCTCTGAAGGCTGAATACCAGTTCCGACCCT